TCTTAAAATTTTAATGATGTATTGAGAAATCTTTGTCAGTGTTTTTTCTTCTCTCATATAGACTGTTTACAGTAATTGGGCTAAGTAATGTGATTTGTGGATTGTAAATGGCCGACAGTTAATCTTATTTTTACTTACGTCAAGACTAAATAGGAAATAAATGGTAAACAAATGAGTGAACAGTAAAATAAATGTTCTGAGCAACAGTCATTGTTCCTACTAACACGTTCAGTTACCTTCCTAAACCACTGTTTTAAAAAACTAAATTCTTGAGAAAAACCTGTAGAGAATATATTACTGTAAGCTATTTGTTCAAATATGTTAATGGTAGAGCATAACTTAAGGTTCAGTTTATGGTCAGAAAGCATCTTTCTGTGGGAGTGTTCAAGGAAGAATCACCAAAACGCACAGTATCAGAAAACAGGAAATCTGGGATTTGTTCCCAATTTAAATACTAGTAAATTTAAGGAAATGTTGCACTTAGTTTTGTTGATCTTTAATGTTCATCTTTTATTTTTAGTGTCTTCGCTGCAGCTGAAGGAGGAGTTGATAGATGGAGAAGAGTACAGCTTCCTTCAAGGAGCGTCTGATCAGGAGAGCAATGGATCTGCCAGTTACTACATCAAACAGGAGCCGTGAGGCAGCTCAGAAGTGAGGAGCAGAGCGCTGGTGACAGGAAGAGAGCCTTTCGCCGAGACTGACGGACTCTTGTTCCCACTTGGATGGTGCAGTTCAGGTGACTGTACCCGGGGCACTTTGCTAACTGTAGATGAGTTAGACTCAGTTCAGATTTTTTTGGAAGGGTGGGGAAACTATTTTAGTGAAAAAGATTTTTTCAATTTATTAAAAAAAAGAAACACAAAACAAAAATGGACACTTTTGTGTTGTATTTGAAGCTTTTGAAAGAATTTTGTAATATTTTCAAGTCCAGATTTATTGTGCATTGTTAACAAGAACTGAAATTCTAATTTTTTTGTAAGATTAAAGTTTAATTAGCATGATTGTGGGAAGCGGCTGGAGGAAGATATAGTTGCAAATACAAATGAACTGTCATAACAAATGAACCTTTTTGGTACAAGTTGGGAGACTTTTAGACTCTTGTGAACTGCACTGGTCACGCATCTGTTTTTATTGTGAAAATAAGGCATTTAAGCCCTAATTTAGAGGCATAAATTGTATGTGGAAGATAGTCCTGTAAAGCTCTACTCAGTGAGTAGCCTCAATTGCAATGGAGCCATCACCTGAGGAAGATTTTAACTTTGCAAGGTGTTTTTATTTAGTTTCAAATACTTTTTTTAATATAAGATTTAAAAAGAAAATAAAAAGGTTCCTTAGGGTCCGACTCGGTGCCCGTTCATGTCAGTAGCCTTTGTCTCCGCTGACTGCAGTGGGCGTTGGGTTGGGACTACGAAGCTCTTGTCTGTACATGAATGTCTGTAGTCTTGGAATGCTTCAGCAAATGTTTACAGAGCCCTATGCCAAACTGGAACTTCAGAAATTCCCTCATTTGGAAGATCAGTTTTAGCTGTGAATTCAGACTAAAGAAGAAACTTGGACAGGAACTCAGGCCTCCCTTGGTAGTGGGAAGGAACTTCTGCGTATTCTTCTGATTATTTTTTCTGTTCAGAAAGACCTGGGGTTTCTTTACTGTCTTAAATATTTATTTGTGAGCATTCAGAGCCCATGTTCCACATGGTTTCAGGTGAGCTAAAAGGAGTATTACATTGGGGCTTAAAAAGAAATAATTTCTTCAGTTCTGCACAGCCTGCAATATTAATTTCTTGCTGCAATGGTGTAATATGGAAGTTGAGACTTGAGAACAGTATATAAATCATACACTGTCTAGTTTATAATTCATGAATTGGATTTGCTTATTGCCTGAAATCGTTGTGTCTCACTTCAGGTATCCCATTAGCCCCACCTCCTTCACTGTCCGGATTTTTTAAAAGGCAGAAGTAATGGAAAAGGGTGAAAATGACTTCCAGTAAAATACAAAGTATTTTAGGATGAGCTCTTAATAATTAGGATTTTATCTTTCCATATTTTTCAAGTTTGTACGTTTTTGTAAATGATGTCATTCGTGGAGCTGATGAGTGAAATGGTAAATCAGCGCTGCAGAGCTGTGACTGGACAAACGTGCACCAAGAGCTTTAGCTTTTACCAGTAAGGTTCATTAACTAAACTCTCAGGAATTAACTGCTTATGTTCTATAAGTGCTTCTGGGTCTTAGCAGGTCCCCTTCAGAGCAGTACAATGATCCTCTGACTCTTGACTGTAAATTAGGGCTTAAAAACAAAATTAATCAAAATGATTAATGTCTGTGTTCCTACAGCCTAAGAAATGCTTTAAGGATATCAACCCACAGAGCCCCAGGAGACCATTTTTGTATATTGTTGTTTGAGCTTAAGAAAACAAATGCATAGAAAGTTGAAAACCAGCAATCTGATTATTTTCTAAAATATTGCTCTAACTTTGGGTACATAGTATTGGTAATATGCACAGGTTTACCTCATTCTATGCAAGAGGGGTTAATTATGTAAAGTTTTGTATTTACTACTGGAAGTAAAAAAATGTCCTGTATAGTGTAGGAATGTCTGCAATTCTTTTCTCCCTTACTGGTAAAATTTCTTAAATAATGACCCCTTTTTAATAACAGCTTCTTATATTGACAGAATCTGGTTATCAGATTGAGTGTCTGTAAATTCAGGTGATAAGGACACTTTAGCTCTCTAAAATAGCCATAGAAAGAGCTTCTGTCAGGCTTGGTAGACTTCAAATACATTTTCTTGGATTCTGACCCACCCATGATGTTTTTTGTGAACAGCCTGGATTGGAGAAGTAGGATTAGAGACCATTATAACAACACTTTGAGCCTAGCTTTTTTTTTCCTGTGATCTTCATTTAAGCTGCTGTAAAATGCAGCTCTGCAAGCATTGATTTGGTTTGGTAAGTGCATCACTATTGATTTTTTTTAATGCAACAACTCGCAGATTGTCCCAGTCAGCTGAAACAAAGTTGGCACAGTCTTGCTTGCTTCTCTCATCAGTAGTTTCTGACTTCAGTAGCAAAACTGTCGCATTAATTTGTTTCATAATGTGAAAGTTTGGGTGAGTAATGAGCCAAGGTATATTGCCAGATCCTGAAACCTCAGGCTTCTGTGCATTGCCCAGGCTCAGAACTTGGCTTCCCAGTCATACTCAGTTTCTGAGTTATAGACTTCAAATGTCAAAAGGGAAAATTAACACTCAAGTTGAAAACACTTCCTGCGTTGGACAAATGTAGGAAGCAGATTTGAAGACTGTCAGCGTTAGTTTTGTTCATTAAACACTAAATGCATGAGTTGACTTGCATTCTTAGATACACACGTGAGTGACTGCAGTAGGAGGTGGGTGAAATTTCTCTTCTGTTTCTGAATTCAAAATACACCTAAATTGTGTAATTGTCAAGTACAGTAAAATCTGTCCTAAGCAAACCACATAAAGAATTAAATGAAGGTGCTTGCTTAGGAGAGGCTTAAGGAAAACCTGAGCAAAATCCTGCCAGATATTTAGAGGGGTCTCTTTGCAGGGCGAGCCATAGCGTAGGCGTCACTGTATTTGTAAAGCCTTCGTTAGGAACACGGCTCAAGGTGATTTTATCTTCGCTTTACTTGGCTAAAAGAGCAGCAAAGTGTTGGGGATCTGAAATCTTCAATGGGGTCAAACTAATTTCAGTATTTGGCATAGCAGGTTTTTATAACCGCACGGTAGCACAAGTTACGTACCTTCCTTTGCAGCTGCCCTCTTATTGCTCAAAATCTTTCTGCCGATCTTTGATTTTTTTTTTTATGTTAAGTACAACTCTTTAACCTATTCCTTGCTGCATCTGAGGAAAGCTAAAGCAGTTATCAATTCCTTGTTCTACGGATACTAACACGGGTTTCAGTGTTTGTTTGTTTTTTATTGTCGTTTTATGTGATGTGAACACCCTCTCCCGTCAATATTTGTACGATGGTGCTAATATATTTGGTAACAATCCTGTATTGGGAAGGGATTTTAAAAAACTGTGATTTAAACTGAAGTTTTTCTTCCTTTTAATTTTCATATTTAAAACAAAAAGCCACAGCCATTTATACAAAAAAGGAATCAGTTTTGGCCCTGGGAAAATGCTGGGGCAGGAATCAAGACTAAACAAATAGGGTTTTTACATCATTTCTGTATGTATTTGATATATAGATCAATATCTGTACAAATTTAATCTTTTATTTTCTTGGTAATTTGTGTGGTCAATGAGAGAGAGTATTTAAAGCTTTCTCATGCAATGTACATAACTAAGTGAAAAAATGCTTTTGGAGAAATTAATGTTACTTTCATTTTTACGAGACTGCAGATTTTCAGCATGGATGTGAAAGCATTAAAATTATAACTTTGTGTACAAGATGAAAATAATTCACTAAATTTGCCTTTTTTACACAAAATAAAAATGATAAAAAGATGTTTTCTGAGGAGTGATTATTTTGCTTAAAAGGCGTTCCTGTTTCTCTCCCAAGAGAATGCACATCGAAAATACACCCCGTTTGTGAAACCATGAATGTTTTAAGTCTAAACACAAATAAAGCCTGAGAGGCTCTGAGCACAAGGTAAGGCTTTTAATACAAGATGGCATTAGTTAAGCATTTAACAGAGAGCAAGCTCTGCACTTGCTCTTGTATTTCACGGTTGGTATTAACAGTTGAGTAGGGAGGGATATTTTGTCACAGGGATCACATTTTTCTAGTTCAATTCTGCTCCAGTGGAAGTAGCTCAAGCATCCCTTCAGCTCTCCCTCTGCAAGTTGCCTTTGCAAGTGTAACCTATTCCAGTAGCCTTCACTTTGCAATGAACGAGTCACTGAATTTTTATTTGATATGCCTGTACATGTAAGTTTGTGTTTCTTTTTCCTTCTACAAGAGGAAAATACTGAATTACAGTGAAGTGACTTGTGTGAACATCTGAACACAGCAGTGAAGACACCACAACAAATTAGCTCATATCATCTATTTATTTGACAGTGCTGAAAATGACTAAGATAACCGTGGTGGTCATTGCTCCCAGGTCAAGAGCTGGAATGAGATGACGGGTTACGAAGGCACAATTTATTGTGGCAACTCATTTCACTCATAGATCCAGTCATGTGCGCAGGACTTGAAGTCGATGAGCTCTGCAGGTTTGAACCACAGGTTGATCTCCTTCTGCGCGCTTTCTACGGAGTCACTGCCGTGAATGATGTTTCTGTGGAAGGAGATGAACATTTTTTTCATATAAAACCACACTTCCAGCAACCTAGTAGTTTTCCATATGCAAAAACTCGGATGAAGCATCTAGAGCTGCAAAATTACTGTTTCAGGTACAGTGTCCAAATAAAATACCTCTACTGTAAGAGCTAATTAAGCCTAGCAGGGTACCTAAGGCTACTTCACTACCACAGCTGCTGCCAGGGACTGATCTTACATGAAGCTCAGATGAGGAGCTGTATTTCAAAAAAAGCCAGGTTTGTACCAAGCCATTTTCTTAAGTAGCAGTTAGGGACTGTGACCTGCAAATAAAATACCATCAGACTAGGATACCTACCAACAATTTCAACTCTCTAGAATAAGAGACTACCAACATTTGAGTTTTTAATCTTTAACAAACTGAGCACAAACCTTCCTACTTGAATGCAGAAGTCACCACGGATGGTACCAGGCTTGGAGTCTGCAGGGTTTGTTTCCCCAAGCATTACTCTTCCGGTTTTAACCACATTGAGTCCTTCCCATACCTTAAGGAAAAAAAGATAAATACTATTAATCCATGATTTTTACAAAATACCAAATATTAATCTTTGCTAATAACTTATACTTTGTAAAGAAAAAGGGCTCTACCACTAAAAAAATACTAATCTAGCCTAGATTCTCTCTTAAGCTGTAAAGATAACTAAGAAAAAAAGATATAAACTGAAAGTGGTTATAAAAAGGATTATTGATACTATGACTCCAGTAAAGGAGGTACTTTACCAAGTCTCAGAGTTAACTGATATAGAAGGCCAGGTTCACAACCTCTGAACATTTTAAATAATTTACAGAGCAAGAAAGTAGTCTGTAAGTAAAATCAAGCCACTTACCATGGCCACAACAGGTCCAGAATTCATGTATTTAACCAGACCAGGGTAGAATGGTCGGTCTTTCAGGTCAATGTAATGTTGTTTGAGAAGGTCTTCAGAGGCCTTTAAAGGGACAGATGGAACATTAAATATCACTGACAAAATACTGTCCCACAAAAGCTGTCACTACTGTAAGACTGCAGCACTATTGACCGGATTCTCCAGACACTGATATTACCAACAGCTGCTGCAATGCTATCATGGATTCCAATGAAAGCTCCTAATGTAAATCAAAGCAGTGCAGGACACGCCACCTTTCCCGTAGTAGTGTCAGTGTTGCGAGTTGTCAAAATTATTTCTTTGCATTACAGTAACCCTCAGCAATTAGACGAGTACGAGATGTCTGGCTGATGGTACCCGACCAGTCAAGGTCATTTCAGCTCTCAATTAGGATGCATTAACCCATCCATTAAAATTTTGTTTCCTTAGGAAATGGGAGAGATCGAATGTCTGTGATTGATAGTAAAATGTGGCCTGACGTGTGATACGGTACTTCCAGCTGTTGGGCAAATTCAACATCAGATTCCCACTCCGATGCAGAAAAAGCAGCAAAGACATATATATATATACATATATATGTGTATATATGTGTGTGTATATATATATAT